AACTTTTCCACAACATTCTAATTTATTGAGATGCACCTGTACACCTGCAAGCTGTCTCTGAACACTAATAAAGTGTTCAAATGTCTCTGTGTTTGTTTCTTATTTCTTCACTCAGGGCTGAATCAGGTGGTTAGTCAGCAGGCTGCAGAAGGCTCTAGTCCTCTTGATGGTATGATCCAGAGACTACAGCAAGAGCAGGACCAGAGACTGGGGTCTGACACCAGAGCCAGCAGAGGTAATGCACACTTTTTTTTTGTAGTGTAGTGAAACAATACTAAAATGTTTGATACAATCAGTAAAGAAATTTCATGATTCTTGATACCAATTTATTTTTAACATTTATTAAATTACTTATATAATTAAAAGTACTTTATACTATAATTATACATTTTAACTATTTAATAATTAAAAAATTATGACAAAACAATTGTGTTACAAATTATACTGATATTATTTATATATTATATGCTGTTTTAATTTTAGTTTTTTTTTTCCCGCCTAATATTTATATTTTATTTTAAGCTTTATTTCAGTTTAAATTTTTATTTCATTTTAGTTTTAGTTAACAATAACACTGAATAAGACTAATTAAAATAGCAAAAAGCACTTGACTTTTTTCAGCCATATCAATTATTCAAGTAAATAAAAAAAATACCAAAAGTGTTTAAATGTTGAATAAAAATTGTTGCATTATATTACAAAAACAAAACAAAACAAAAACAATAAAACAAGCTAATTAAAAAAAAAAAAAAGACAATGACACATACATTCAGCAGTCTACAGTTAAAACAACTGAAGAGCCAGACAATGTAATTTGTCTGTATTTTTCAATTGTTTTCCAAAGCGACTTTACAACGAATAGTTCCTTACAAACCCCCAGTGAGCCAGCCAAAGTTATCACTTCTGTAAAGTATAAAAATGTCATCAGATGATCTCTATAAACCAGTGGGGGGTGATTGTAATACTGTTAACAGTAGTGTTGATGCTGGTTGCGTGTCTGGTTTGTGTGTGTAGGATCTGTCAGTTCTCCCACAGAGGTCTCTTCTCCACCTAACGTGGGTCTGAGACGCAGTGGACAGATCGAAGGTGTTCGCCAGATGCACAGTAACGCTCCACGCAGTGAGATTGCCACCGAGAGAGACCTGGTGGCATGGAGTCGAAGGGTCCTCGTTCCTGAACTATCACCAGCTATAGATTGGTAAAATACACATTCAAATACAGTGGACTCCAAAAGTCTGAGAATGCATTTCAAATCTGGCTTTCAAATGTTATTTTAATCCTTGAAAAAAGCAGAAAAGATTAAAAAAATTAAAACAAAAAAACGTTATGATCTAAAATGTCGAAACATTTGTATATCTGTTGTATTTAATATTTTGATAGACACCTGCAACTCAAACAAGACCTTCTCGTGTCTTCTTTCTATTGTTTCTTACAGTTGAATGCAGTTTGTCTGTTTTGTGTGTCTGTTTGTGAATACAGTAAGCAGGAGATTTGGCGTGCAGCTAAAGGAGAAGAGGAAATCAACATCTACAGGTCAGAAAGGAGGAGACGCAGCGTGCACAGCCAGTACCACAGAGAAAACCGGGTAAATTATCATATATGATCAGCAATTTAAAATATATACAAATCTGGATAAACTTGTCTGCCTCACTGATTGATTGGGATGAAATGTACTATTTGTGTGCAGCATCATTCACCACCAATTTTTTTACATCCAACTAAATGTTGCTAAAGCCTTAGTTGCTGTTTAACATGCAAATTAATGTGTGTATTTCTCATACCAGCATGCTATAGAAAGTTCTGTGGAGGAGGGGCGCCGTCACCAGGGTAACCAGCATAACTACCATACACGATTGGCCGTGGAGGAAACGAGTCGTCAAAGTGAACCCAACGAGGAAGAGCACAGTGCTTCTGAGGTACTGTCAAAAGATGTAACTTTAGGGAAAAGTAAAGTCAATGTAACTGCCCATTTAATGAACTTACACTACCATTCAAATGTTTTTGTTTGGAAAGATTATTACAATTTAAAATAACTGTTTTCTATTTGAAAATAATTTAAAATGTAGTTTATTTCTGTGATGGCAAAGCTGATGAATATGAAGTTCCAAAAAATAGCATTATGAAAGTCTTTATTGTCAATTTAGATTTATTTAATGCATCCTTGCTCAATAAAAGACATCTTACACCGTGTCCTAACTACACGCGACACAACAAGATTCTAGCGACAAGAAATTTGGGTGTCCACACCAGACGCGGCGCAACACCACGACGAGACAGAATCAATCAAATATCACAGCCAATCAAAAGCGTGTGTGAGAGGGCTTTCTCTGGAAGCTCACTGCACTCACAATGAAATGGATGAGTTTATAATCTAATTCATAAATATCAAACCTTTTTTACATCATTAAAGTCACCATGAAATCAAAATGAACGTTTTTTGTATCAATATGTTAGTCTTAAGGTTATCTATAAACCAGTGTGCTTCAAAACAGTGACAAAATTCGAATTTAGAAGATAGAAGCATTCAAAGCTTGCAGTACGTCACTTCCGCCAAAAAGGATTTTTTTGACATCACCTCGTACTTCAGCTTCTCATCAAGTTACAGTTACATATTAATATTTCTACTTCAATTTGTTTTTTTTTAAATATAAACATTTAAATGGTGGCTGTCATAAAAA